CACAGAATTTGAGTTAGAAAACTAACAAGTTATATCAATATATACTAAGTTATCCCGTTTGTTTCACAGAATTTGAGCTACAAAACTAACAAGTTATACCAACAAGTTATAACAAGATTTACTAAAGTACACTATTTATTTAACCGATTACTAAGTTACAAAAACTAGCAAGTTATACTAATTTGCACTTAGTTGGCCACAGTATTGATACATACCTTTGAATGGCTGGAGTCCGACACAGTTTTTTCTGTGTCATTTACATGCGACTCAGTGTCATTCGAACCATCAGGGACTTCGCGTTGTCCTGGAGGCGAATCACCAACATAATTTGGGTTCTTCGTGCGCACCATTGATCTTCGAAAAACCAAACAACCCAACATTATAACTTCGCGAAATCGGTTAAGCATTTTAACCTAAATTCGACGCGAATTCTACTCAAAATTGCAAAATGTATACTCGGATTTGAATAAAGGAATTAGATTCGGACTTACCTTGGAATTAGATTTCGAGTTACGAAGAGTTATTCTTGGTTGTACTAGAAGAAGCGAAGAGAGTTGGAAGAGGAGATGGCGGACTTGTGTTTTTTTTTTAAAAACTGTCTAGAGAGTCGGGTTAAAGAGGGATAATGGGATCCGAATTTTTTGAGTTTGGATGTGGATTGACCTATTTTTGGTGGTTGGATCTGTAAATAAGAAATTTCATTAAGGAGTTTTGGGTCTTTAGCCTTTTTTCGATTTTTATACACAAAATTTAAATCAAAAATATTTTTTTTTTAACCTAGCTATATATAGGAGGACATGGTCCAAAAAATTGATACGATGCTCCTTCCTTCCTTTCTTCAATTCGAAACAGTAACTTGGGTCAGTAGTTTGTTCGTCTCAAATGGCGTCTTCTTCTCTTGTCCGAATCGCTGTTGTCGGAGATATCGTAATGTTATTTCCTCCTCCTATCTCTCTCTCTTGAACCTTCTTTTTATCTTGTTGATTTGTTTATCTTTTTATTCTTCTTCTATTGAAGCATGGCTTCTGGGATCTAGATGAAGATCGTAAAGCTCTTCGGCTACTCCAGGTCTTTTTAAACCTTTTCCTTCTACGTTTCTCCATCTCCTATCCAATTCACATGTCCGCATGACTTATGAACCCTAAATCCCATTCTGAACCTTATTTGCAGCCGGATTTGGTGCTCTTCACAGGCAGCTTCTCTCTCTCTGTTACTGACGACGAATTGATTTCTTTTCGAATTCCTCTACTTCTCTTGGTACTATTGTGGAATTGTGATCAATTCAGAAAATTTTAATCCAATTCAAAACTCTGTCAGGTGATTTTGGTGAGGAAAACGTGCCACTTGTACAAAGCATTGCAGCTCTTCCTTTCCCTAAAGCAGTTATATTGGGCAATCATGATGCCTGGCGCACCCATGACTTATCAAGGTGACTTCTCTGATTTACCGTC